TTAATGGTAGTGTGAAAAATTTGCCGGGAATCAGAAATTCGGGGCAAATTTGCCCCGAATACGGATTAAGGGATAGTAATACCGATACATAGTTTATAAAATTTTTTTGTACGTAAAAAAAAAAATAAATAAATTAAATTAAATAAATAATGTATTAAATAGTCGAGAAATAAATTATATATTGTAGCTAATAAAAATTAATTAATTGTAGATTGAAAATATTATGTATTTTTTTATTGCAATATTGCACTTACTACATTCGTATTTTAATAACCACCTTCGATTAATGCCTTTAATGTAAATGCATAAGAACCATATATAGTTTATTAGCTTATTCCATTAGAATTAACAATGTTCAATATTATATGTTCGTCCATTTCAGCAGATTAATAATGAACGAATGCTTTATACCAATCATACAATTAATGATTTTTACATTCACCTCTCAATACACAACCACAACGTCTTGTGCAAAGTGCATTATTTTTACGACATGAACAACTTTTAGTTGTACAATTCGTTTTGCTGCAATGGCAATTATTTTTTTGAGAGGATTTTTTTGTTTGTGATTGTTTGGCCTTGAATAAATAAATTATCACCATTCTCCTGCGTTTTTTGTATTGGATGTGTTAAGTTTTGTTGAGCTGCGGCATTTCTTAAAGAAACAAATGTACCAAGTGGAATAACATCAAGTGCTGGGTATTCATTTGTGCCCAATGGCTCTAATTCATTTGCTGAATACCATGTATCTAGGATTCCAAATTTACATCCAACCTGATAGGCATCACTGTTAGGTTTTTTTTGAATGATTTTACAAGGCAATGAACGCCTATCCAATTTGAGCTTGTCGATATCTAGAATTCGAATTTTTACTAGATCACCTAGATTTAAAGTTATACTATATTTAGTTTATATTGCTTACAATGATAATAAGATTAATGATTATAAAATTACCCAGATTTAAAGTTAAAGATCATTTGGTTTTATACCGCTTTTCCATAACACTACGAATAATTTGCTTATTTTTTTAACTTGTTGTAGTGCTTTATCACGTAATTGCTTATGGTTATCAAAGCTTGAATGGCTTGAATGAGATTGATTATCGACTGACATAAGACTTTCATGATCTGAATCTTCAATTAAAGTATATGAGCTACTTGCTTGTTAAGGTTTTTTAAATAACAAATTAGTACTTTCTTGTATTGAACCTTCAAAATTTGTATCAGCTTGAAATAAATTATCATGTAATTTATAGTCTTGAAATGTTCCATCTAATAAAGTATCTGAGTTATTGCACGTATTTTCCAAGTCTATAGAATTGTAATGATATAATGCATCCTATATATGTAATAAATAAAAATTAAATATTAATAATGATGTAATAATTATTAAATTATAATTAATATTTGCATTATCATTATAATTATAATCGTAATTGGCATCATCATTATTATTGTTTAAATTAGAATCTGATGCACGCCATTTTTCCTTTTTATTCCAAGAATTTTGTAGTTTAGTATCGCAATTGGTAAATTCTTCAATTAAACTATGATCTTGTGATATATTCATTTTGTCATCATTAGATTCAAGATCATTGTTATTGTTGTCACTATCTTTGATTAAATTATTTTATTACTAAGATCATTATTCTCTATAAATAAATTAAAAATATATATTATATAATAAATATAAATTAAATTTTTAATAGTAATAAATAAATTAGTTGTATAACCAAAATTTAATTAATCGATCTTAAAATTTATTAGTTTACAACTAATTTATATAATTTTTTACTATCATTATTAATTAATGAGGATTGATTTTCTAATGAAATATCTTCTTCATAAAAAATATTTTGCCGATGAAGCATTGAAATCATTTGTAAATCAGCTTGTGGTTGTTGGCCAAATATGAGTTTATATAGTGTTGATTTTGTCATATTACTTATTTGGTTATTTATTGCCCTATAATATTAAAATTTTATATTAATAATTTATTATATTTTGTTATTTAAAAAAAAAACTTACAAATTATAAATGATAATCC